TATATATATATATATCGTACTACGCCGCCCTGAAAACGCTATTCACTCACATATATTCCGTGCGAATTGGCCACAGATCTATAGGTGCTGGCTGTGGTGGTACTCAATGAGTTTCCGTAACGCGAAAACGATCGAGAGCATTTCGATATCGAGCATTACGTCAGGCTCGTAGACGTGCGATGTCAGTCCAAGTGTGGTCAGTAAGCGTTGTTGCCACTGCTGTGAGTTTATTGTTTTCTTCCTTCCTTTATCTCTCTTTCTCTCTTTCTCTCTCTCACACTCTCCGCCCTCCCCACCTCTCACACTCTCTGAGTCTCTCACTCCCCCACCTCTCACACTCTCTCCCCCCCACCTCTCACTCGCTTTCCCTCTCTCCCCTCTCTCTCCTCTATCTCCTTCTCTTTCTTTTCTTGTGTTTCGCTCCCCCTCTTCCCCTTATATGTCTCTTTTCCCTCATCAACCTTTCTGTATGTATGCTTTTACACTTACAGGCGTAGTGATTAGTGCACCTCAATGCAGCATCAGTCCATGTTTATCGCGCGTTATATTGACGCCCACGTCGCTACGGGCAGACGTATATTGAACATTTGATGACTCCCTAGTTGTCTATAACAACCGGCTTAACGCCTATCACTTCACTACTGTCATGAATGGCTACAGTCAGCACGGCGGCAGCGGCGGCAGCAGCCGCCTGCTGAATAATTAACAATCTGCGCAGATGATGATAGCAATCGAAGTGTGCCAATTGTGCGCTTCTAGCCGTAAAATAGTGGCATTTCACGGATATCGGCTCGACGTATATATATTCGCCTAATTCCATTTGCGTTAGCAACGCGTAGACTGACTACAAGCGTCTCTGTCACTGCGCCCGCAAGTTGGGGACGACGACTGAGGCTGATGCTAGCCACGACAAGCGGAGTCAGTGTAGTCACTAAGTAGTGTCAACGCGAGCAAAACGCGGAGAAATGAACTCTTTGCAGACATACCCGTCGACAGTCGCTACTGTCAGGGTGAGGCAATCCTGGCAAGTTGTTTAGCGCGACGACTGCGAATCAAGTCTAGATTGTAATTACGTTCTGTTTGCATGGGTAGTTAGTGCGATCCTGGAGGAGTGCTGTGTGTGTGTTGAGGGAGGGGGTAGCATTAATTTGGCGATTCGATATTTACCAGAATTTAATAAAAATGGACGTCAATACTCGGCGAATCTTTGGAGAAGCTCAGTAATGGTTGAAGTGCGAGTTGAATGCGCAAGGAGCTTTTCAATCAACGTTTGATAGGGATATTCACGTGAGCGTGTTGTTAAAATCGTCTACTTGCGTATAATCGATTCAGTAAAATCTAATCGATTCAGTAAATGTCTGTGCATTGTAGAATCCTGCGAGTGTTTCTCTGCTTTGGGCATTTGGGCGGAAAAGACAGTGGTGTTGATGACAAGATGGCCGTCACGTTCACGCTGTCTCTACCCGTAGACCTGCTGCTATTGATCCGGCAGAGTTCGGTTTGAGATCGGATCATATAGTTAAACTTTACAATCTGCGAGTGCCTGATTGCGTGGGGGTCGTGTTATATGAATTTCGTAATGCTTATCGCATTTTATGATTCGCCTGAAAACGCGCGATTTCTGCGAAATGGAAATTTTCGGCGATGCGTGCGTGTGTGTAGAGTGCGTAGGTAAAACGCTGGGGTATATATCAGGAGTAGATAATAGACCCTATTATCTACTCCTGGTATATATGGTGCAGCGAATCATTGACAGTCGGGACTCGATGCGCGACCGGTGTGCCACTGTCTGTGAATTATGCATGGTTTATTGGTAGAGGAGAGTCCTTAAATCCGCTTTAAAATTTAAAAATATATAAGACTATACACATCTTACATTATTAATACATTCATTTGTCGGGCAACAGATTATACGCAGTAAAAAGGATATTGGGCCTATACCTACAGTGTTCCACACATTTCACACTTCAACCATCCGATGATCGTACATCAAACATCAAAAATCAAATAATGTATCGTAACTATTAGCAACCTATACCCATCCTAACAAACAACGGCCTCTTAATATGCTAGCATCACGTTAGCTTATAGCTATAGCATTACTCTAGCCTAATGCTATAGCAAACAGAGCCCGATGCCACACGAGGCGGTCGCCCATTTAGTATATGTATATGTCTTAGACCTAATTTAACTATGACTTCGCCCAGTTGTCCGTACGACAGCTTTGATAAATTGCAGTTGAGATTTACCCTCATAACTATATTTAAGTCACGGTCAATAACGCTGGTTGTCACTCACAGTTGGCAAGACCCCAATCATGTGATCACCACTGTGGCACTATAGATAACAGGCTTCAATACAGTTTTCATGCTCACAATTTTTTCGAAATTAAATTGCGAGAGCTCAATGCTGCCTGACATTCACCAAATGATGCAATCAAATATTATATAAAACAACATATTAAATTATTTAATAATAAAAATTAAATTAACTGCGTGCAAATTGCGGTCAGTATATATACCAGTGGGGATATTTTGACCTGCTGCTAAATTGCTGAAGTTATAGATTGTGTTTGCATCGAGATTACCGCTATCTAAGTATATGGTCGTATAAATAGATGCTGAGCACGTGTTCCCACGCAACGTGCGTGCGTGCGTGCGTGCGTGCGTGCGTGTTTGTGTGCGTGCGTACGCCATTTATAACGTAGAATAGTTTCCACCCATCCCCAGCCACCCATCCCAGTCACCCATTCCCAGTCACCCACCCCAGTCACCCACCCCCAGTCACCCATCCCCAGTCACCCACCCCAGTCACCCACCCCCAGTCACCCATCCCCAGTCACCCACCCCAGTCACCCATCTCCAGCCACCCTCCAACCAGCCACCCACCAACCACTCGCCCCCCGACCACCCAGCAACCAACCACCTTTTAACCAACCATCCACTCACAGACACCCTCGCCCCAGCCACCCACCCCAGACACCCCCAGCCACCCACCCCCGGATCTCTCCACCCAGCCACCCACCCATGCAACCTCTGGGAAAGCGGCTTTACATCGGAGCGATTTGAGATCGAGCACGCCGTGCGGTCACGGGAGGTCTACGTACAGTAGCGTCGCCGCAGTCCCAAGGCTGTATAAGTTCTTAAAATAATCCTGCGAGGCGGGATATAAAAGTGAAGAGGCTTTCCGCATGCCAGAGCTGCTCCCGCGTTTAATTGAGGCCAATTTATATGCGAATTATAGTCGCCGACTAGCAGTAACATCGTGGAGACATCGATCTCGCATATAATCGCCCTCGCAAGCATCGAGTATAGACAAATCCGCATAGTTACATCCCCGCCATGTGTATTCGGCTTCAGTGTGTTGCTGCATTAGTACTATAAGGAAAAAAGGGGGTATTATCCCCCTATTATCCACTTCTGGTACCGTATGTGTGTGTGTGCGTGCGTGCGTGTGTGTGTGTGTGTGCGCGCGTGCGTGCGTGCGTGCGCGTCTGCGTGTACGTTTACTCGTGTACGTCTAGTACTATGTAGTGGTATTGTGTATTGGTGTGCAGAGTCACTAGTTTCACGTCCATTACTTATAGTAGTCTTTTATTATTTGTCGCTTGTCGTCTGCCAAGCCGACTAGACCGGCGTCTAGGTGTCCACGCACATACAATGGTAGCGCATTCAGATTATAATCAGATCGCAGCGAGTGCTGTGACTTGAACAAAGTCCTATGTCCGACGTTTATCCTTCAGGGGCAGGGATACATCTATAGATAGGCGCCGGTTTAGAAGAGATTATATAGAGTATATATATATAGAAGACGTACCGCCTTTATGAGACGGGCTGGGCGTGACGCGTGTGAGACGCCCACAGACAGCAGCAAACCTCTCGCGTGGCTTCAGCTTGTACTCA